TTCGGTTTTACACTGGATATGGGGTGTGTGGATGGAGCTATAGGTGGTGCAGCGCAAACCACCCATGATCCCTCTGTAGGCGCAAGCATCCTGTGGCCGTCCCTGTGGAGGCCGTAGTAACAACAACGTTTCGTACCGCGCCGTTCTGCTACGTAAACGCGCACTGACGATGTCACCTCGGTTGGTGACGAAACGTTTGCAGCCAAATTGCCGAGCCATCGAACACTCAGACCACCATCAGCAATCTATCTTTGTACACCGTCAGATTAAAGGTGCCTACAATATTCCATAGTTTGTCCCTAAGTTTGTTACTGCGCGCGCTTTCCTTTTTCTCACTGTTCTCTCATCGTTGCACTTGGCCTTCCGCAGAATGCCCACTCTTTGGCTGTGTAGTCCATAAAGCAGATTTCCAGATGCACAGGCTTCTCTAGCCGTATTCTCTTTGTTGCAATATCATCAATCATCTTCCCACGTGAAGCAATCTTTCTTACTTCCGTCTCACTGCATCTCGCGCTTACTTATCGGTCTAAAGAAAGCCATCAATTTGATGCGTGGTCATCTGCTCAGATGACGGTTTCACCTCTTCCGGTTTACTCCTTTTTTATTATTTTATTCATACCATGTCTCAACATAAATGTAATGTCAGTGTGATTGCTGAAAAGGTTCCCATTCTGTTGTCAAAGACGTATTTTCTTGATTTGCTGTCATTTGAACCTACTTCTCAGGTAAAGTACCTTGTTTGGAAATTATTGAGATTTCCTGTAACTCGATCGATGGATAAGATGGTTGTCCTGTTCTACGATATGGTCATTTATGTTGCAGACGTTTCGTTGCCAAGCTAAGCAACATCCTTAGTGCGGCCACTAAGTCCTGATTCGCGGAGTCTCGCAAGCCACTGCCAGATCCGAATGACTATTGCTCGTTTCTTCATTCGATTGGTTCACGTGAATCCGCTGAGTGATCACGTCTTCTCCTTGTCGATCTGGTGCCTATTGCTGGCTTAACCTGCCGAGCTTCTTAGACACCCTCCAGCTCCAGATGTTTGTTGTGTGAGTTTTGACCCGAATGCTAGGCCTCGAAGAACTCACGCGCCCTGTGGTTTCTTGTTCTCCAGATCGAGCTGATGATCCACGGCATCCATATGTACTGACATTAGGGATTTCTCATCGTGGCGGCAGATGACCAGAGTATGTTCGCGCAGTCTTGTGCCAATTTTTCTTCCAGTCTGGCCTACATAGTATTTGTCACAATTCTTGTGAGAAAATTTGTAAACTACACCCGATGTTTCTTCCTTACTCAGTTTGTCCTTTACCTTGAAAATATTACTTTGAACAGTTTCCGTTGCTTCCTGTGTAACATTTGTCCCGTAAGGCATTAGAAGCCTCACTGCCATTTCAGAAATTCCATGGATGTAAGGTAGGATAGTCGTTCTTCTTTCTGTTGCACATGTGGACTCGACTTATGGTCAGTTTTTCGACATCAGGCAGCGTAGAATAAAGCTCCTAGTGTACGAATTTCGCTGATACATGTTAAATTAGTGGTCTTCCTCAGTCACAGCATGTGTCTGGGCCCGTTTGGAAATCCTCCTTACGCAACTATGCTTGTAAATTGTCGGATGGTTACTGATCGGCGTGTGTCGCTTTCCGAAAAACTGTTGTTTCCGGCGACACAGAAGCATGTCTTGTCACGAGCACGTCCAGAAATGGTAACTAGTCATTGTCCTCCTCTTTGTTGAAATGGATACCGGAGAAAATATTATTGATTATCCGAAATGTTTCTTGTAGTCTGGAGCGTTTGAGGATGACAAAAGTATCGTCTACCTAATGTACCCAAAGTTTGGGCTCCACCATCGGCAGTGCCGTTTGTTCCAACGCTTGCACCACTGCCTCGGTTACCATTCCAGAGATTTTTAGTCCCCTGTGAGGTATCCGTTATTTGTTAGGCCATTGCAACTGAAATGTATGGTGAAACAGCGGTCAAGCAATTCCATAATTTTTGTGACCTTAATTCTGTTGCTTGTATTTAGCGCTCCGTGTTGTTCAAGCAGAGTCCTCATCGTTCGCCTCGCCAGCATCGTGTCAATTGATGTGATCAAAGCTGTAACGTCAAAGGAGGTCATTATCTCGTCACTTTCTATTGTTCTTCTCTTAAGTTTTCCAAGGAATCGTTCTGCTGACTCGCTTGAGTGCTCTGAGCTTACGATTGGGTGCTTAAGCCGTTTCCAGAGTACCTTAGCTTGTAACTGATGCCCCGGGTAATGAAGAAGATGTATGGATTAAGAATTTACCCAAACGAACTTTGTCAAATACAGAAAGAGCCGTTATTGTGCGGGGTCTGCAAGTCAATTACAAACATTCCAATCCCACTGATTTCCTTTCCGCACTTGGGTCAACACTGACCACATCAAACATCGCAGCTAAAGCCCAGCATGCAACTAGACACAGCATCATCCCCGCTCTGAGTCACAAAGTGGGAACCAACATATTCAGTGTAAGCGAACGAAAGGCACCGGCAAACCTCAAAGACAAAACTATTGTTATATTACCGGCCGACAAGGGACGTCTTACGCCCATGATAGACAAAGCTGACTACATGAAGAAAGCACAAGAACTGCTCGGAGACGTGTACACCTACCAACCGAAATACTTTAGAACACTGGTAGCCCGGGTTGGTTGCTCACATGTTGATCATTTCTCCGAGCTTGAAACACGCTGCAGTACAGCGGAAACCAAACGGGAAGAAGAGAAACTCCTATTCGATTCGTTTGATCGCAATGGATACCCACTCAGCTTCATCCGCAGATGTGTAAACCACAGACCTACAAACACCGAGCCGATACCAAATGCAAGCAAGAGGGTCGTTTTGCCGTATGTGAAGAACATATCTGAAATGACTGCTAGATTGCTCAAACAACACCGCATCGTGGTCGCTCACAAGCCAACCGCTACTTTGAGAAGAATACTGTCAAACCCAAAGGACATTCGGAAAGCACAAGAACGAACAAACGTCGTGTATGAAATAAATTGCAATAATTATGAAATGAACTGTGTGGGACAGACAGTAAGGAAACTATTCACAGGAATACAAGAACATCAGTGGGCTTGTAAAAAACATGCATCGTCTCTTATCTCGGTGCATGTGGATGAGGAGGGACGTAGCTTCAATTGGAACAAAACGGAGATTTTAGCTCAAACAACAACACAGAAAGGAAGAGAATTCCTAGAAGCATGGTAATCCTCTAATAATTCGATCAACATGCGCATCAACATCGACCCCTTGTACCATCAGCTCAGAAAGAAAGATTTCCAGCGAATAGAAAGATATGCTTCAGCCGTGGAAGCAAATGGGCAGAGATCACGTGGCACAAATCGAAATTGCCACCTTCCAAAGTCACCTGCCCGTCGATCATGGACTGGCGACAATAAGCAGGGTTATACACTGCATATCACCGCATTGAAGATGCCACCTCGCATGGTGGTGAAATGTATACAATCCCTTTATCAAGCTCGGCGAAACGATCAATAGGTGACCTACCAGCCGATAAACGAAGACCCTACAAAACGTCTGGAATGCAAGATTTAAAAATCTCTTCAGAATTGAACAAATGGGACGGATCACGAAGTTGAAACCAAGAAAGATGAAACTCGAGGGTTCAATGCTACCACGGTTCTACAGCCTACCCACAGTACACAGAAATGGGGTACCGCTTCGCCGTATCGTGTCATTACTTGAGGCACCGATTTACAAGCTGTCTAAAGAACTCTGGAAACCACTGAAACACCTAATCGTAGGCTCAGAGCCATCAACCCAGTCGTCAATCAAATGTTGACCTTCTAAACAAAAAAAACCATCAACAGTCATTGGGCTCTCGTAGTGGCTTGCGAGACTCCACGAATCAGGATTTAATAGCCGCACTGAGGATGTTGCCTAGCTTGGCAACGAAACCTCTGCAACAGAGTACATTGTACTCATCGCTGCCCCCCACCTAGAGTATGCACAGCAACGAAAGTAGACAGTTTTCCTACCTGTTTAACTCAGTAAGACATCCCGGACGAGGTTTTTGATACTTCTGCAGATTTGTTCCCCTAGTGAAGCGGTGTTTGATGGTGTTTCGTCACTATACTGGTTAAGGTCCTCAGTGTGAATTTCAGTGAGGCCGCATCCCTTAAATCCAAATCTTCCAACTGGTCGCCTTTGGGTGTGCACTAAACATGTGATCTATAGGCCCAGTATCCAAAGTATCGTGTGGGGGCGAATTATTTTATAAAATAGGATTAATCATTTTGTTCGACCTTACACACTCGTGCCATTGCAGGCTAACTTGTCAGCGAATAGTACTTTGGCTTGCCCCATCGCCTGCACATTAAACCTGCGTTATAAATCGTAAACAATAGTCGGAAATTGAATCAGCTGCTGCACAGTCGTTTCGTTCTGTTCGTAACCCATGACACAGATCGCAATAGATCCCCCACTGACCAAGCACTTTCCATTTTTTGATCGAATATCCTGTGTAATGTGGGGTGTCATCGATTATTGTCCTTCGGTAAGGCGCAGCAGGGCACTGGACAGCGCCGAAATTGCCATTGACAGACGCCACTTCTGTGTCCCAAACGCATGGTATACTTTTTCCTTCTAACTAGCCACCACTCAAAGCCAGTATCGTTTGTAGGATCCATTCTGCGTTCCACACCGCTATTCTTCGGGCTTCCGACATGACCACCCAGTGGAATGCACTACCTTCTACTCCACAAGTAATCGGTAAAACGCTTGTGGTAGCACGTAGAGCTGGGAGTTACACGATAAGTTGTACTGACTCTCTTTCGGCTTCGAATTTTCATTCTGTACATTGGACGATATAGGTCAGAAAAAAGTGCTCGTTATGGTGAAGTGGACTGTTATTTGCAGCAATTTTACTCTCACTGAGGTACCTTTATCTCGACGTAGTATCAAAACTTCAGTAAAAGCTTGGTGGTTTAAGCCTGTTTTTTTCCTTTTTTCAGCGACTGTTGCAGCCACTCGCCTTTCATTGGCTGGCAACACTTCTGGTAGTTCGTTCTGGCCTCCTCATGGAAAACAGTCATTGTCAGCCAGCCCCGATGAGGACTATGCATTCACTGTGAGTTTCGCTCGCAGCTCCCGCATTTGTACCTTGACTGAAGACGGTGAATTCTTTCTCTGTTGATTATTTTAGCAACCTTGTCCCCATAATCATTCTGCAAAATCTGTTTAACCAAAGTCACTTCAATTGGACACTGGGAGCGAAACGATTTTGTGATAGCTATTTGCTCCGCTTGCATTTCTGTGCACCACTTGACGGTCCCTTCGCTTCTTTTACTGATTTCTTGACTTCCCATTCATGAAGCCTTGCCACTGCGTCCGCTGCATCTGTGAGATTTCCTTGATCTTTTGGTCTCATGCAACTATTTCATGTTTTCTGTGGCGCTGCGCTTCTGTGTGACCTGTCAGATTGGTGGCACAGCATTCGGCGTGCCTACAGGTGGTCTTCGCCCCACTGCTCGTCTCTCTTTTTCAATTCCCCTCCAAGTGTTGGCTCTGCGAAATTAGGCGTAGAAGTTTGCGAATGGGGACGACGACTCCTTCTCATCCGGCATCAACTACGACATAGAGACCTCAGGTAACGACAGCACCCTGAGTGTGCATACGTGGCATGTGCCACCGTGAGCTACGCACTTCTCCCGAACATTTGGCTTGTGTACTCTTGAGCAATACATACGAGGTGTAACCACTGTAGTGAACCAGCATTCTATTTCCCATCATGGAATTCCCTCGGATGCCTTCATGAAAATAAACTGCGCACCCTATTATTAGCATCACTATAATCAGTTTCATCAAGCACAACACCCGACTGATAACATCGTCGCCTAGGCAACGAAATGAGTCCTGTGCCTACAATCCCAACTGTGTCGTGCTACTACCGTTTTAGTTGCGTCTTTTGGTCTCACAGTCCCAAGAGAGAGTGCAGCACTGGATGAACGTAACCTACTGACCATACAGACGTGTAGTGAGCCAGTGGTCATATGCTTCACATCTTCTGTTATGCCGGATCAATGACTCCAGTGGTCTGCGATCTCAGTGCCGCGTTAGGCACAAATACCAAAGGTTGTCTTCTCTCATGCATCTCAGTAAGTATCTTCATGTGCTCAATTCAAATCTGGAAATCCATCTTTTGATAGCCACGGCTTTTTATCTTTTGTCGATCAAATATGAATTCCGTCAGCGATTCTCGTCTTACGTTGGTATAACCGAAACTACAAATATTTACACAACTCGAAAATTTCCACTCAGGTTTCGAGAACACCGAACGATAGGTGAACAATTGTTTTCAATGATTTATCATCATACCTTTACGATCGTATGTAGAGATAAAAAGAAAACTTGAACTCATTAGATCGTATTCGGGTCGGAAACTAATTAGCGCTCGTTGCATGGATCGGAAAACTTGCTGTGCCGTACCTGGAATGAACGTTTTTTACTTAAGTGAAAATACTACTGGCAGTGGATAGCGCGGTCAGGTGCTTTCTCCTCAGTCCGTTGTTGGCTGTTATCTTTATAGAAAAATTGGACCATACTAACTTACAGAAAGTAATAATCACCTCTGAACACTATTCTCGACACGTAACTGACACATTTGTTGTGGTAAGCTGGCCGGTGGCCGAAAAGATTAGGCGCCTGTGTTGTAATCCGGAGATCATCGGTTCTAATCCTCATGGCCATAGGCGATCTCGTTGTATGCCCAGCCCACGTGCGACTGGTGATGATCGCGTGGCAGGGAAGCGCCTGTACAATGTGTCGGTGTACTGCTGATGTCTGCCTATTTGTTATGGTAAGCCAACCTGAATATCCTTGATTGCTTGAACTGGGCCCACGAAGCACTGTAGTTTACTTTTGTAAAAGAAACTGCCTGCCCTTGTCTTGATGCCCTGATAACCAAAAGGAAAAATTACTGCGTCTAGCCACATGCCCTCGGGAAGACAACTTGGAGTAGTCAGTATACGCACTTTTACAGTTTCATGTCATAAGACATGAGTGTATCTTGATTCCCTGTCTCACCTCCAGAGCAGGTACAATTCACTCAGAAGACATACTAATGGGGGGAAATACGTTCATCCTGAGTAGACTAAGTGGAACTGGTCACTGCTAAATCTATTTAGACGAACTTTCAGGGAGAACCAAACCACGTATCATTCTTAACAACGAAGAAGAAGGAGCTGTTTATAAAACTTCCTTTCGAGGGAAACGCCTAACGCTTTCTAGCTGCAATTAAGCCTATCCTCCAAGTAGTGCCGTTAAATTGCACTTTTTCGACGAAACCATTCATTCATACACGAAACAAGTGCACGTTGTCGATGCTGGCCGCCTCCATGATTATGTGCAGTTTGAGTGCGATTGTGGTGCAATGTATATCGCTCGAATGTTCCTAGTTGGTTCAGGGTGACACTTCGGTTACTAGAAACTCCGTTTCAGCCCATATGCTCGACAATGAGCATCAGCACCTTACCAAATGTCTACTCCTCCATACGGTCGCTCTGTTGTTTCGCGGCCCCTGTATGTTTGCAAAAGAAGCGAATCCAGACTCTGCATCTTCATTGGCCAACAACGACGAGAAACACTGTAGTTAGCTGCATTAGTTCAGCAATCGTTAAACTAATTAAGCGTTTGCGCCGTGTGTCGTTTATCGTTCTCTACCCTGACCCGTACGTGATTTACATAGTTTGAACTGATCCGGTTGAATGTCCCTCTTCTTTATCTCTCTGAGAGCATTTATTCACCTACGGTCTCCTGTCCTCGAATGTGGATGTGAATTTTGCAGGCACCGTGACCACTCAGTCAGCTCGTGTGTTGGAGGCCTATCCGGCGTCAAAGCCTAAATAATCATAATAACTTTGTTTTTTCCAACTGTGTGCGGACTAAAGCCGTCATAGAAACAGCGCTGGCTTCATCATCATCATCATCGTCGTCGTCATCATAATCCATTGTACACGTCGGCTGCAGGTAGAAAACACCTCTGCTATTGTGCTACAATACAAAAGACAAGAACAAACATGCAACATTGGCCCGCCGGCTGAGTCACCAGTAACACATGGAAATCGTCCCGGGGAGCTAACAGCCGGCTATTGTGCCGCAAAGTAGTCATATTATCCCTAATAATAGCGATCGTGGTTGGATGGGGACGCTAGGTGGTAGGGGGAGGGACAAAGAAACTCACAACAAAAATGCCATTGTGGTCGGCTCCTAGCGATGTCAACAAGTGTATCCAGCCAAACGTGTTCATCGTCCTTCGGTCCCCAACCAGCTAGCCGAGAAGCTCCCACCTAGGCCAACTATAGAGGGACCGCTTTCATTTCTCTAGACCAAGTCATCGCTTGGCCACCTCTTCTTTTCTTCCATCCACAATCCCGGCGCGCAGACAATGCGCGTCGATGAAGTCGGTGGGCTGGCATGCGTAACACGTGGCAGAGCCATCGGAGTCTGATGCGTTACATAACGGTGCTGAGCGGTTCGCTTCTTCTTCCTGCGCCATAAACAAAGCGTCGAACACGCTCATTGCTCATTGCTCATTCTGTGTTCCCACCAGATGTGCGCCAAACTGCGAAGGCACCGGTGGTCGAACGTAACTAGCCTCCCTATGTCTGCGGCGCTGGCTTCACGTGTCAGCTTTCATTTTTGCTTAGTCGACCAGAATAACCAGCCTTCTCTCCAGCCAGTGATAACTTTGTCCTGTGGGCTGTCCCCTTGAATCTGCCACCTGAGCGTAGAATTCGAAACAGAGATGGGAATTGAAATTGAATAAAATCCCAAGCCATCTCCGAATTCGGTGGATCAGCACTTGCATGTTAATTATGCGATTTTTGATAAACCTTTGAGTGATCTAGTCATTCCAACCAACTGAATCTGCTCCGTTCTAGTCCCGATTTTCAAGAGGCTCACGTTCACAATGTGGCAGGCATATGGGTATCAGTCTGATATCTATTACCTTCAAGTTACTTGCTCTGTCACTCCTCATAGGCTTGCTTAAACCCTTGAAAACCATATTCCTTTTGTTCTAAATTGTGACACTATTGACTACCTCTTCACCTTACGTCAGTTATCGAAACACCCCCACATACATTAGTGAGCCACCGTAGTCGTGTTCATCGACTTCAAAAGTGCCTTCGATTCTCTGGACCGCTGTGTATTTTGGGGGCTGGATACACTTGCCGATGTGGCTAGGAGCCGACCTCAGTGGCGTTCGTGCTGTGAGATTCTCTGTTCTAACCTATCCCTCTTAGTCTCCTCCTCCAACTATGACCTCACTATTTAGCCTTATATAATTTTGCATTGTAAATTTCTTTTTTGCTGCGTAGTAGCCGGCTGGGGGCTTACCGGAACGATGCCCATCCGTTACCGGTAGCTCAACTGGCTTGCACCTGTTGCCTATTTCCTTTTTTTCTTTTATGTATTGCGGCACAGTAGCTGAGGTGTTTCTCACCTCTAGCTAGCGCGTATAATAATAATATAATAATAATGTGTGCTTTGGGACACGTAACTGTTTTACGGGCGCGGTTGGGGCAGCTTAGGAACATAGGGCAAACTGTCACCGTCCTTAAGTCTCTTCAACAGTATCCGTCATTGATGAAATTATGAAAACCGCTTTCACCGGACACGACTTACAATATGTGCAATTGCTTCTAGATGATGTACTTATGGATTTGGAGTACTCCGGCTGTGTTCCCGCAATTTGTGGTTATTCCTAGCAGCCAAGCAGTAATGGACAGAGTAGCGTTGACTGTAATTCATTCGCGATTGTGCTGTGGAATCTCGGACTGCGAAGCTATGTTTCGGCGCTGGCGGAGACGGATCCGATTAGTGGCTCGAGACGCTCTTTCCCAACTTCAAGTCGCTTCGACTTCACCCTATCCATCAAGCTGGCCTACGAGACTGACAGGCGTATAGAGGCAAGTTAAATCTGACCTACGGAGCCCTCACAGCTTAGCTAACATCTGGTGGGAACACCGTGTGATTGATAAGCGTGCCCGCCGTCTGGTTCTTTGCTGACTACAGTTATTTCACGCACCGGATTTCAATGATTAGTCGATGTGTTACGCATGAAAGCAT